GTCTGCCATAGCACAGAGCCAAAGCATGGAATATAAGGTATGAGCACTCAAGCATGCACATCATGGCACATGATGGAGGATGTCAAAATGCACTTTGATGTTATATAAAGTGATGAAGAATGCAAAGAATCAATCCTTTGCACTTAAACCTCCAAAGCAGGAAACTTTCTTTGATATTTATTTGTTGCAAGTCATTAAGCTGCACAGCATTGTTGCTTTCTCAAACACCCAACCTCTAATTTGATGTTTGTGGGTGGCTAAATTTGCAGGAAGCTGGTGTTACTATGTTTCTTCCTATGAGTTATATGGGCATACTCTCAAATCTGTCCATTAAATAAGAAGTTGAAGGAGCCGGAAGGTGCTTATTATAGCGTGCTTTGAACAGTGGGAGCGGTTATATCTATGTTTGCATGCTTTGTTTTCTTGTAATGTTTAACTTTAAAGACTTTGTTTCCATCTTGCTGTAATCACCATGTGGAAAATGTGAAGCCACATTCCTGATTACCTTACTTCATTGCTAATTATATTAGGGGAGTGATTGAGTTCACTTGCAGTCAGTGGTGTGGAAATTATTCATTAAGCTAATCTTTATAGACAATAATTAAAATGTTTTTTCGGGATTGGTTCATTGATCCTTAATATGTCCAAGTAGTGTGACCTGCACCTCAAATTGACTGCACAACCTGAGGCAGATGGGTGTTGGAAAAACAAGGCAAACATTTTCTTTATTTTGAAATTTTTTGAGTATCTACATGTATTTTTATGTGGTTTAACTCAAAGTTCAATTTAAAACACCAGAATTTTTCACCTCATGTATACATTTAAGTATCAGAAATGCTTCACACACCCACCACACACCATCAGTCTCTGTCTGAAGGCAAATTATATTCTGCCTACACTAGGCCAGTGTGTGTGCACGCACGCGTGTGCATACGTGTGTGTACGTCTGTGAGCTAATCTCATTTATTCACCTGTGCTTCCATGCATGTCCGCAAATTGTTCGCCGTGTATGCTTTTGTTTCTGCCTGGTCTGCCTCGGTATTTAATTGTTTACGTGTCTTAATGTTTCTGTTCCTGTAGAAAGACAAAGGAACAAAGACTATTCAGGGTGTAAAATACAATTAACAGAAGCAAAGCCCTTTCACAGAAGAAGTGGGAAGTTCACACAAAAACGCTCACATATAGCTGTCTAATTTTCCACTGCTATTAGCTTAACCTAGCATTGTGAATTATATTGATGGGCTGATGAATGCTAACATCAGCAGCTTTCCCTAATGTTGTTCCTTATTGTGATCCTAACTGGGATAGCTGATCAAGTACACACAAACATGCTGTTTTGTGTTTGCTTTTTGTGATGTAAAAGTCGACCGTTGGTCTCACACACACAAAAAGCAAACACAAAACAAAATCACACATAGTCATGTGCATGCAGAATTCCCTTTGAATCCACATAAACAGCCTATACTATATACTGATACCAGTATGGATCCATACTGTGGGTTTACGTGCAGATGAGAGGTTTTTGGAAGGTGATAATATAGGAAGCATCTCCCACACTACACGGACAAATGCACATAACAAACTGCTTTGCCATGAAAACCTGTGTAAAGAGGCTCCCTGTGCACGACTTGGTGCTGGTGTTAATGCCAGAGGAGGCTTCGAGATCTGCAGTTATTGAGTCAGAAGAGTGTTGGAGACTTTTACTCACTATGTGATTCAGCACTCTGCTACCCTGTCGTATAAGTTTACATTGTCTGCCACTTTGTGGCTGGGTTGTTGTGACAGCTAAATGCTTCCCCTTTTCGACAACAACACCACTTACAGCCGGTCATTGAATATCTAGACCCATGTCTTGCAACAGTGGCAAACTGTTACAGCACTATGTGCAATTTCAGTAGGAGCTTTAGGAGAACCCAGTCTTTCACAAATGTTTGTGACAGACTGCATGGCTAGGGTTTGGCAATGGGACTAAAAACACCTGAATTCAAAAAGGGATAACATGGTGAATCTCCAGTTCACTTAATTTGAAATCTATCATGTTACTCTCTCTAAGGTAAACTTTAACTGAAAAAATTAATATAACAATATTGTGGAGCTTCTTCTATATTTGATCACTCCTGTTTTATTTCACAGGAGACTGCTGCAACACATTTTTGAGTCCACGGAGGAAACAATATGATATTATAAAGAAGTGACAGACACTCTGTCTGTTGGAGGAGTTATCCATGGAGCTTCAGAACTGAATCTACCTTCTGTCTCAAACACAGACATTTACACACAGTACAACAAACACAGTACACATCATGTGTATGCATATGCACAGCTATCTGTTATATGTGTACGATTATATGGCTATAAGAGTTTGTATGTAATAGAAGTCACTGTAATAAGCTTCACTTTTCTGATCAATATTATATGCAATTTTTTTAAACCTTTAAGTGTATTAGATTAATTTAATTTCACATTATCTGTAAAAGTATACTATCCTTCCAGTATGTGTACATCCATATAGGTAATGGTCTGCATATTATATGGTGCTCTGTGTATAGACGTATAGACTCTAATCAATCAATCAGTCAATCAAATAATATGTATAGATTGTTTTTCTCCAGTGTAATTTTTAGACGAACCTTGCGTGTGTTTTTTAGTTTTGTTTGTGTTGTGTTAGTGTTTTGTTTAGTTTTTTACTGTTAATCATTACATAAATGCTTGCCATGATAGATTATTTATGAAGGCAGTGTTCTTGCTCTTACATGAAAAAATAAATATTATTTTAAGATACTTTTTGTCTGTCGCTTTTGTTTGTTTCCCTTCTGAACAGAGGCAGTATTAATTACATTTTTTTCTCCAAGGAAGACGTTTCATTCTGTGTCACAACAACAGGAAATCTCTCGACGCTTTTGAAACAGTCTGGGCAGATGACGCTGTTGTGGATGTAGGATATTCTGTTCTCTCTGAACTGGGACTGGCTGCCTGATGGCTGCTTAAATATAAACAGACACCATTCATCATATTTTGACTCTTTAACGTTAGGCATGGTCAAAAGAAAGGCATGTGACTGAATAGATGTCTTCACTCTTAGATCTGCCTATGTCTGCTGTTGGTCACGGGTGTGCATACATGTCTGCACGAAGTGAGTGAAGAATAAAAACATTTATATCCAGTGTTTCACCCAAAAAAGATGTGCCTCTGCTGTTAAGCAAAACCGGGTATAATGAGTCATTGTTTATTGCAATAGGAAAACAGTGAATCATATTTAGCTGTAACAAAACAGTCCATTTTCCCATAAAGGTTTCCATTAAAATGCCCTTTTTGTTCTTTGGCATAAAAACAAACCTCCTATTTTCTGTGTGTTTACTTTCAGAGTTCAAAAAACATACAGCCTGTACATATTAAATAAGTAACAGCATGGTTCTGCTCTAACACTTAGAGCATGTTTTGGTTAGCAGCCATGTAAAAAACAGCAATGATTTGAAGTCCTCTCGGGTTAAAGATTTGCACCATGACATTTCTACATAACTGTAACAAGGTAAGAAGTTAAACCACTAGAAGTCAGGTTTGATATCGTCAGATGTATATATGCTGGGTGAGGATGAATCTTGGCCTAAACCAACTACTATTACCATGTGGGTGGTGATAAGTTCTGAAACCAGGATCTTTTTCCAACATTAAATCTGCACTAATCCGTATTTTAAATAAATAAGAGCTGCCATGATTGTGTGCAGTGTTACAGTGGTCACTATAAATGTCAGCCCCACAGAGAGGTGGTTAGAAACACAAGTGATTGTTAATATTACTCTTTGTCAACAGAATATGCAAACACCTACTTAAAGTGTCCAAGCAGAACTTTCTGGTAATATTCTGTTTTGTTTCTTTCATATTCTTCCTTACCTTTAATGAGTAAAAGGAATTTGTGACACATTCACTACTGCAAATTAAAAGGGTAGCCCAAATATAAACTCAGGGGACATTTCATTAGGTGATGTGATCAGTGTGGATAAAATCTTTCAGCGACATTTCCAGTAACTTGCTGAATATTTGCCATGAAGAATTATGGCATACCTAAATAAAGTTGCCCTTAAGCATGTGCTTCATTAATGGAATGCCAGTGTTTATCCTAAAGAGAGACTGGACCGAGATTATTTTTTTTAATCTTTGCCCATCTACTTCAGCTTATGTATATTTTTTTTATATATATATATGTGTGTGTATTTAAGATTGTGTACATTGTTCACATCACCTCCACAAAAATGTAAACTGTAGAGCGTGTGGTTGGAAGAACTGTATTGTTTGTAATTCAGGTCTTAATGTGAAATATATGAAAATTTTGCATGAAACATATGAAACAGGGCTGTATATATGACATAGTGATTGTAGTACTATTATAGTACTAGCCAGTACAGTTGACTATACTAAAGAATCGGGTATGTGACAGAAATCGTGCAGTTGTTATTTTTCCACCATTGCAGGTCTGTGAGTTACCCATGGCTAGTACTGTCATTTTCAGATGTAAGCACAATATGTCTTCTTCCTGTATTGTATGATTTTCATCATTTTCTGTACGTATCTGTTCTTTTCTCAAGCAAGGTAGGCGGAAGCAAGTATACTCTGCTTCTCGTAAAAGAGCACGGCCTTGCAATGGCTTTGTTTGAGAACATGTTCATCTACATTCTACAAATTTATTTTAGCTCACAAAGTAATGCAGAGACTATATATACCATGCCAAGAAGAAACATTCCATACCGAGAAGTATTTTAACCTAACCCTAGAGCTGTAACATGGGGCTGTTTTGGAGGACAAGCACAACCAACTTGTTTTGTGGTGTCAAATGGAGCAGGCGCTCCATTGCAAAGAATGCATGGGGGATGCCCATGGTACTATTAATAAGTAAATATTAATGGGTCTGGTATGTTCCAATGTGAGCCATGTGGGCTGAGTTGTTTTTTTTAAGTGTGTGCTAAATGAGGCTAAATAGAAAGGGCGCATCCCCGCGTCTGGGGAAAAAGTGTGTGTGAGTATCGGCTCTCTGTGCGTATGTATGAGAGAGAGAGAGGGCGTGTGTGAATACTTTAGGTTCTCCCTCAAACGCCGCCGATTGCATTCTTCTCTTGACGGGCGGCGAGAGGAGAACGTCGAAGCGAGAGGCAAGGAGAGCAAGAGAGAGATTAAGGCTGAAACTTCTCTGCAGACGCTCCTGAACAGGTCAGCTCCTGAACGCTGAACACTGAACGCTTCATATTCTTAGAATATTCTTTTAATACTTCTGCATATGGGGAATTACAGTGCGGGGCAATACGGGACCCTTCTACTGTTTTTCTCCAGCATCGACACAATGTTATTGCTTTAACCAGTGAAACTTGTTTTGTGGTGGGTTCATGCGCATCCAATAACATTTCAGGCTTTCATTCATCATTTCATCATTAATGTGAGTGGTACTGTTGCAGCGCACAGATCCACTGCCGGGCACTGGTATCGATACGCTGCGCATAGCAGAGGAATCGATGAATTAAAAGCTAGTAGGTATCAGAGATGCGTGCAGGAACCAATCATTTGCTCTCCTTACTGGTGGCACGCAATTGATGTCCCGTCGTCGCGCATCTCAGTTATTTTACGTATTTATTGGCGCACGGAGACGGGAATGTTTGATTGCAGCACAAAATGAAAAAAAAAAAAGGGGGGGGGGGGGGGGGGGGGTTTGTACACACATGTCGCCAATGTGTTCCAGTAATGATAAGTCCGCACGAACGGAAGCTTATTTCCGCCTGTGTGCGACACATGAATACTGTTACTCACTGACTTATTTGCCCTCTTATGATCCTGTCAAAAGAGGGCACGAGCCACGTTTCCCCGCATAGAAACGGGTACGAAAACAGACACGGAGCGCATTGCTGAGGGAAAACTATCAATCACAATCCATTCTCTTACACCCGAATATGGATGTCCGGACATCACTGGCTACTGGTATTGAACCTAAATTAACAATGGAAATGTTGAGCGGAAGTAGATATAGAGTTTACTCACGTTGTAGCTAAGTATTTCTTTCATTTAATTAAATCTATAAATAAATAAAAGGTTGGGTTACAGTTTACCAAAACTGAAAGGGACGACGCGATATCTCAGAAAACTGCTTCACACCAGAGCTATTTTTATATCAGGTGATTTGCCAAGTGTTACACACGCCGCCCTCTTCGTTGTAAACCACCAATACTATGCAGACTGACACAGTGTATTCAGATAGACCTAGAAAAAAAAGCCTCAATGATGCAAGACATGAAGGAAAAGAGAGAAGGAGGAAGGGGTGTTGTGTAGAAGAAAGAAGTAGGATACAATAAGATTTGTAGAGCAGTAGAAAAGGTAGAATAACTGGAAAGGCATATCCCTCTTTTTTGAATTTTTTTTTTTTTCCTGCGGCATTTACAGCATAACTAATCCAGTTTATACAGTTTAGAACTACGGAAAATCTTCTTCTTCCGGCTGCTCCCTTTAGGGGTCGCCACAGCGAATCACCTGCCTGTATCTCATCCCATCACCAGCATCCTCCTCTGTCACACTAACCCTCTCCCTCCTTCACTACATCCACCAGTCTCCTCGGTGGTCTTCCTCTCTTCTTCTTCCTTACATGGCACCTCCATCTTCGACACTTGTTGTCCAGCATATCCACCATCCCTCCTCCGGACGTGCCAAAACCACCCCAGCCTTGCCTCTCCAACTTTGCCTGATAATTTATAGCCTGTGGAAACTAAACAAGTAAACATTCATTTATATTTCATCAGAGCTTTCCCGCGCTTTTTGTCATCTCGTTTTCGTGCACGACAGTGTAGTAACGCAGTTCGGTGACATCGCAGGCGCAGTGTAGGTGTCTAAACTCAATTAGAGAGAGAAGGGTTAAAGAAAGAGAGAGCACGTGGAGAGAGAGAGCGAGAGAGAGCCCATATGGTCTCGTGACGTAACGCCGGACGCTCGAGCCTCTGCTTGTGTGTGTTTATGTGTGTGCGTGTGTGCGCGCGCTCTGCTTAGAATCCAGAACGGCACCCTAATAATACAACAACAACAAAAACAACAATGAACGCCGTGACCGCCGCGTCCTGCCTGCTCGTCGCCGGCTTCAGCTGCTACCTCTACGGCAGCGACGTGTTGTCATCGCTGCTCCGTGTCTCTGTTACAGACTCCTCCATGCCCGAGCCGGGAGCTGCTCCGCGGCGAAGTCCGCAGGGAGTCCCCTACTCTGACCTGCCGCACATCGTCAACGCAGACGGATTGCACCTGTTCTGCCGCTACTGGGAACCCACCGGTCAGCCAAGGTCAGTGAAACGGCAACTAAATGTGTGGCTGCGTTCCCTCTCTGTGTGTCCCTTTGTTAGCCCATAATCTGTTGGTCTGCAGAGGAGTGTGCGGCTGTCATTTAAAATGAAAATAAAAATATCTAAAACGTGCAGTAATTGTGTTCACATGATTGCTCTCCTGTGAGTCACATGTTGACTTTTTGACGCTTAATTTTCAGACATGCGCGCAGTCCACTATTCAGCTACAGTTACAGAGTTTGTTCCGTTCAGTGTAAAACCGGCACCAGTGCAAACAGTTTGAGTTCATTTACTTGTATAAATGAGAAGTTCACTCAAGTTTCACTTTCAAACCGCCTCCCAGAAGGAACTCTGCGACTGGTTAAACAAGTTCAAGAGCTCTCCAATCACAACTCGCCATCTTCTACGCTAGTACAAGAAACCAGAATATGTACTTGCAGATGTGATATGAGGCCTAACATCGTCTGAAAAGCACCCAAGATTAAAAACAGGCTGTGTGCAGTATTGTCTGACCCATGCTCAGAGACATTTTAATTGTGTTAATCTCCTCATAAAGGGGTGACTAGATGCACCAGTGACAAACACTGGGCCATGGTGACCTTCATTAACACACACAAAAAAGCAGATCCAAGATCAGTTGATTTGAATTTATATATAAGCCTGCAAAGCTGATCTTTTTTAAACAAAGCTAAAATATCACACGGTTATCTCTCCTCATAGAAGCTTCATTTGACAACATCAAAAGTGTTTTTGTAAGAAGAAGCCCTTGACACAAATGTAAAACCATACAGAGACTGCATACATCATCTCTGTTTAAGAAACCTCATATGGAGCCAAGCATGTCTTCCATCTGAGCTGCAGCTGCTCGTAGAGACACATGAGAGAACCGATGAATGAGCTGAGAGTGTCACTCCAGACAGCTCCTTTTCAAAACCAGCGGAATTACTGGTTTTACAGCATCGGCATTTGTCCACCCCGTAATCGCAGACGCTTGAGTTTTTAAGGTTGTTTCCTTTCGCCTTCCCAGCAACAGTGAACGGCATCATAGTTCATGTGCGAAAGGCCTCAAATCCTGACTCATCCGGCATTCTGGTGTGTGAAAGAGTGTAAATGGCACTCCTGCCTCTTAGCCAAAGAGACATCAGACAACAGAGCTGGTTGATTAATGGGTCGAGTTTGTTAAAAAAACACACTGACTGGTTCGATAGTGAAACTTTCCGCAGTCTGCTGTTGCAGGCCCTTTCGCTATCACTCACACACTTCGAACATTTTGAAGTCTGCAGCCTCTGCACATGTGGCTGTGGCATGAAACAGAACGCAGAGGTCACATTCGTTTACAAATCACACTGTCACATGCTGGACGAGAGCACAAAAAGACAGATGTGGAAGTACCACCAAACATCTGGAATCAAGTTATTACTGCTCACCCACACGTCTCAGGGGAGCAACGACTCATTAATTCATACTGTGTCTACACCCTTGCTGTAAAATTGTGTATTTGCTCCATAATCTTCGTCTTATAGTTTACCACAGCATGGGTGAATGTATGCATGTTTACTCTGCACGCATACATATTTTGTGTGTTTATAGCTGTGTATGTGAGTAGCAAAGCCTAGATAGCTCTATATCCTAGCTTTTACTAAAACATAAATGTGCAAGTGGGACAAAAATTACTGCTTGTACGGCTAAAGCTAAAGCCTCACTGTAGTCACATGAAAACACCAAAATCACCCAACAATATTGTAAGGCTTGTAAATGTGGTATCTGGTCTTGGCTCATACTGCTGCACATGCTAGGTGAGTTTATTTGAGTTTAGTGTCTCGCAAGATCACATTTAACAAGTAGAGCTATAAAACAGCCAACTCTCTGACTGGTGGACAAGCCACCAGAGCCACCTTGTCAATAGAGCTTTTGGAAATACGCAGTATGATTGTTGTTTGTGGTCCCCAATGTCCCCAGTGTCAAAAATACATAAATAACAAAATTAATTCCAGTGGTTCATCATCTCAGCTGATGATTTCTCCTCCTAATCATATGTAAGAGAAGTTAAAAGCTGAATCATTGCAGAATTAAAATAGCTGCAGAGTCCTCTGTGTTGTAACACTTTTAGAGCAGAGCTTTGCCTGGCTTATATAAGAGCTTTCTCACTGGAGGGCCAGCCAATGAGCACGCTAAAACTGCATGCAGGGATGGTAACAGGGAGACATGCAAGAGTCAGTTTAATGATGTAATGTGTATTGCCCAACTCTTACTTAAAGACTGATACAATAATGCGTAGTTATATAGCTGAATTCAGTTATTTTTCTTGGTGTTTTGTGGGCAACGTTTTACAGCCTCCTAATCAGCAGTTTATTAGCAATGTAAAGTGAATAAAACCCCAGAAGCTGCATTAAAATGTTTACAGGATGCTTAAACTCTTCAGTGAAACCCAGACTTATAAAATTCTTTATTTGAGACAGCAGCTCCCGTACGTTAGACGAGGTAGGTTTATTAGTTTTAAATGATCACAGGTGGTCGTCTAACTGTTCTCTGTATTACTTTAGGGTCTTTACCTTGAAACTATAAAGCAGCTTGCAGGGATTATTTTTGTGATTTGGTGAACTGAATAGACCACCAAGATATCCATATGTTCTTCAGGATATCCAAACGTTATCCCTGTTAGTTCAGAGTTAAAAGCAGCGTCTCCCAAAACTTAGTGTGATCTAAATCTCACGTTGTAAAATCAAAGTTGGACAGTGAAGGTACAACTGCCGAGGACAAAGCGGCACTCAGTCTTTTGTCTGTCGTACGGCCTACGCTTAAGAAATTCTCTCCTGTTTTTACATGTTTCACAATGACTTTTCTGTAGTCTGGATGATGGATCCACAGGCTCACAGCTACCCACTCACTGCAGTAATCAGATTAGTAATTTAACACAAAGTGACACAGTGTGTCCAATTTGTGAAGTCTAAGTCTTTGTAAGTGCAGCTTAGCCAGAAACTTTTTAACAATATTATGTGTTCATGTGTTATTAGAAAGGGCTTACAGTTGTAATCTAAGTAGAACTATATCTGAACTGGTATATACAGTACCTAGGGGAAGCTGAATATGTTATAGGTTAATAGATTGTTCCTGAAAGCAGCAGCAGGAGTATTTATCTTTTTCACTTTTGTGATAAGAATAGTTTCACGTCGGCCTCAGTAGCACCTCGTGTAGAGATAAACTCTGAGGATCAAAGGAATCTCCAGACAGGGTGTTTTCCTTTTGACAGTTTATTAAAAACAGCGAAGGGTTTGTGTGGTTATGAATAGAGTGTAGCAATGATAATGACATTATGTGATCATCTAGGATTACAGCTTATTATTTTATTTATCATTGTTTTTGCCAGTGAATCAGACAATGATAAAAATGAGAATTTCATGAAGGCAAAGTGACCTCACAGCTACTTTCACCACGGCTGTTAACATCACCAAAGTTATGAAGAGAGGTGTTGTAACCATGGTGGCAGGCCAGCAATTAATGACTCATATCTGTGTGGGCCATGTAGTTTATTGCATGTCATGTTTGATTAGTGACGAAGCAGAAACTGAGCACACGGTTGGAAAGCAAATGTATGCACTGGAAACTTCAGCTCCTCAAAGCATGTCCATGCAGGTGTTTACCAGGCAGCCAGCACCACGCACCTTTGTAGAGCTTGTACAGAATCAAGCTTCCACAAATCATTGATTATTGCTGTTTAATTAACAAGATAATCCTGCTTGGAGCAATAGCCACACGCTCTGACTGATGGACATATACGAAATTTAGGTAACTTCTAGGGTGGCTTTGCTGTTGTTCAACATTTTCCAGAGTGAAACTAGTTTCATAAACACTAACACTGACTACTGTTATAAACCATATCAGTGCTCCTCTGTTTTTATATCTTATTTCATGTTTAACTTGTACTAAATAAGACATTTTCATTCTTAAGTTAAATAAGGCTCTGTTACCTTCACTCTGTTGTTGCCATTTCATTTAATGATGCATGAAGAATGCAGATGTACAGAATAGATTTTTATGTTCACAAGCTGTTAACTGGCTTTATCTTTTATTATACAACGTAAAGCCATATTATATAGTTCTTTATTTTTTTCAGTATTTGTTATTTGCATTAGGATTAGAGGAAAGGCCAAAGGTCAAAGGCTTCTGAAAGTTCTTTCCCTAGAAGCAGGAAGTAGGTGAAAAGTCGACGGGTGGACTACTTGGATATAAACAATGATTGACAGATCTTCCACTACTCGGATGGACACTAGTATACCACACACACATACATTGTACACCTGTATTTTTACAGAATACAGCACACGTACACCAATCAGGCATCACATTATGACCTTTCTATCAGAACCAGCAATTTGAGCTACAGTTTTTCTGTCACGGTCTGGCTGGCAGACTGTGGGGATATGGGGGAATGAGGACCCAAAACGCATGGTTCTGCGATGCAAACAGTGCACTTTATTTACAGTGAAGGCTGTAAACACAATAACTCCCCATTGCTCCCTTGAATCCCGTGTGTGTGCGCTCGTGCTCCCCGCTGTTGTGTTCTCGCACACCCTGTGCATGCTGCTGTTCTGGTCCACTCGTCCACCTGGGGGGGAAACCACAGAAACAGCCATCAACACCAACCCTGGCGGGCGCTCCAACACTCTCCTAAGTAGCTCCCCCGACGAGCCCTGATCACCAACAGGTGTGTGGCAGGAACTTCAGGTGTGGCCAGTCCTCCTGCGGGGCCACACCCGTCAGGCCTGCATGTGGCTGTTCTCCATCCTCCAGCCACACATGTACACACTCACACCCTGCCTATACATATAATGAGTGGAACACAGACTAACACAGCATTGTGCAGAAAGACACACACATCACCAAATAATAACGATAATAATAATCATCATAATAATAATAACAACAACAATAACAACAACAACAACAGTCAAAACTGCTCACGGACCCCCAGTCCTCCAGAGCCGGGTCTGTGAAATTTT